CTTTGATCAGAGTTAAAGAGAAAATTCTGGAATAACATTCTGTTTGTGTGCATGTGATTTTTTATGCTTACAATACTCAAATTCATGGTTCGTTGTATAAAAGGTATTACGAAGTTTTTTTTCCTGAACGGGTGTCAGATAAACCAAAGTGACCTTTGAAATAGGACCCATTACACTGATTGACAAAGTAAATTTTCTTAGCCTAGATATCATGATATTTTAACCATTACAAAGTTAATACATAATATTTAATAATTACACGAAAGCTCTCAAATTAACAATAGAATATTTGTAAAATTTGTGTGTATGTCAGTTTCGAAACTCCATACGTTTAGCTAAAATTCATCATTGTAATGGAGAAAAAAAACATGATTACATCAATGTAATACTTTAAATATATTGAAATTGCTTTTGAAGATTTTTCTCACAAGAACATATGTGAACAACAAGAAATTTAACAAACAAACCCATTATTTGTTTTTTTAAATTGTTGGTATATTCCGGTTCGCACTTTCGTTGCTGCCGAATACACAAAAAATTCTCCGTTTCGCTTTTTAGTCATCCCGAGAATCATTCACGTGACGTTGTTTTTATTCAGATTTGCAAACTGAAAGGTGTTTAAACGCTCTTTTCCCACAAAATTGGAGAAAATATGTTATTTTCAAACGACTTGCCAATCCAAAGAACACATATCAATGTATCACTGGTTCTGTTTGAATGTCCCTAACTCGCAGGTAACAAAAAATATCGGTTCGTGAAATTTTACTTTTTTTTGTGACATTCGGCCGTACCTCAGTGGAGTACCTTTAAGATTTTGTATTAATTATAAAATTATTTATTAATTATAAAATTATTTGAAACTTAACGTTTTGAAGCACAAATATTAGTGTCTGATAGAAATGAAAATGACATTTTCAGTTCTGGCAGATAATAAACATTAGCAAACTTAATTATATTTAATATAAAAATATACAATAATTTAATTTATAAATTTTAAATTATAAAATTTAGAATCTAAAAGAAATGAAAATGACTTGATTGACATTTTCTGTTCTCTTAGATAATTGATACTCGGTATTTCACGGTGATATTAGTAACATATTAGTATTGTGTATTAGTATTTCTTCAAGTTTACCATAACTGAACATAAAACTTTTGCATCGTGTTTATAAAATTTGTAATTATTACTTATAATTAAATAAATAAAATAGATATTAAATTTAAATTAATTTAATAGTAGATATACACTACATAATTAATAAATAAATTAGTTAAATAAACTTGATGATCATTTATTGAGATTATAGTTGTATTCTTGATAAAATATTTAATAATTCAGTGAATTATGTTTTTGGTTTAGGATATTTAAATTTTTTTTAAATAATTTTTATTGGTTTGAGTATTTATATTTTCATTTAATACTTGTGATGCTGTGACAAAGTTCTGCCCAGCCATTGGCTTATCAGCAATTAATTACTATTTTACTATAATTAAAGAATTAAAGATTTTATTTATAGTGCTTATTAGAATTTAACTTTTGATTTTGATAAATATTTAATGATTTCAACTTAGTATTAATAATTTCGACTTTTGTTCGGGAAATTTTGGGATTTCGACTTTGATTTTTTCCGTTTGAAGCATACAGTTTGTAAGTATATGTTGAAATGACACTTCGATTTTGGTACTTGAATTGAAATAAAATTTTGACACTTGTTTGTTGTTTTAATTGCTATTGTTGATATAAACTTTGGTCATAATAGAGGTGCACAAGCACAACGTGCAATACTTTCTATTTATAGTTATAAAAAACCATATGGTTATTTTCCAACAAACGAACTTTTCATTCTGTTTGATAGTATGGTTAAACCTATTTTATGCTATGGGTCACAGATATGGGGATACGAAATTGTTGATTCTATCGAGGCAGTTCAAAATAAATTTTGTAAAAAGCATTTAAGTGTAAAAAGGACAACAAATACATGTATAGTTTTAGGAGAATGTGGACGTTTGCCATTGTGTATAACTTATTTTGTTAATTGTATAAAATACTGGTGTAAATTGTTGACTATGCCAGATCATAGATATCCCAGACAATGTTATAAAATGTTGAAGTCCCTAGATGAGAGCGGTCGAAATTGTTGGGCATCAAAAGTAAAAATCACTACTTTATACTTATGGTTTTGGGATATGTATGGCTTGCACAAGATATTGGAAATATAGACATATTTATTTTAACTTTTCGTCAACGGCTGAAAGATGTTTTGAACAAAAATGGCATAATGATATAAATATTGCGTCCCGTTGTTACCATTATAAATTTTTTAAGAGTCAATTAAACCCTGAACGTTATCTTTACTGTGATATTCCAAGAAAATATATGGTTGCTCTTGCAAGGTTTCGATGTTCCTGTCACAAATTAACGATTGAAATGGGAAGACAAAATAATATACCACTTCATGAAAGAATATGTTTATTTTGTTTTAACCAAATAATGTAACTGCTATTGATTGTGAATTTCATGCCTTTTTTTCAATGTTCTAAGTATAATGACGTCCGAAATAATTATCTCTATAATTGGTATTCAAATGGTACTACAAATTAACGATTTTTATTCGCTGATGAGTACACAAAATGAAGAAAATATTTATAAACTATCTCTGTTGTATATCACTTGTTGAAAAGTACCAGCTCTTGACTTATTTTATTCTAATTTTATATGTTATGCAACTACATTCAATACATGTATACACTATAATATTTATACTGTTGTGTATTTTGGGCCGGAGGCCTTTATTTACTTAAATAAAATTGAGTTGAGTTGAGTTGAGGTCTGTTGTGGACTTAGTATGATATATTGCTTTCGTGCCTTTGTGTATTGACAAATAGTAAGGCGACCTTGACATTGATTAAATTCACAGGAAACATAGTGAATCTATAGGATTACAGATATATTTTGCAGGTTGCGTGTGATTATATGGGAAGTTATACACATATATAAATTATAACGTGATTTAATTGACATATTTTACTGGATTTGTGATACAGTGAAACCTGTGTAGACACTTTAACATATTTTAATAGTCAGTGAACATTAACATTGTGCCATTATCATTTGATTGATTATTTCTACATGAGATTCGAGACATTTGTGAATATTTTAAAGTGATTATTGGACACTTGTGAAATATTTTAAGAAATTTTACTTATATTTTGACACTTGAATACTACAGTGACACTTCATTCTGCGGATATTATTTTGTGACTTAAAGACTTTTTGTGTGAACTCAACTTAACTTTTGTGGAGATAAACATGGATAAGAAGAAGGGAAAGGAACCAATGGTTGAAGGAGATGAGGAATATGAGGAATTAAGTGAGGAGGAAATTGTTTGGATAAAAGCACTTCGAGAATTCAAATTATCTCCAGGACCAGGAGGACCAGAGGAATTAAGTAAATTTTTGAAGACATTTAATAAGAGACAAGAAGAAAAAGAAAGTGAGAAAAAGCCATCTTTATTGGACTTAGGATCCGATTTTGGGATAGGAGCTACAGCAGTCGGACATACAATAACAACGAAGAAACCTACAACATATGTACCTAGTGTATCCCCACCTGTAGCAGCACCAATACCTATACCTACAGGGAGCCTACACAATTATCCCAAACTTTCCATATTTCAGGAGATGGAATTAAAGGTGAAGCATCGTGGGAAGCATTCAAGTTTGAGGTTGAATCTTTGTTGGAGGAACACACTTTTATCGATGAACAAGTTTTACTTGGGATTAGAAGAGCCCTTAAAGGTACTGCCAGTGATATTGTAAGGAGACTTGGAACAGGTGTTACAGTTGAAGATGTCATCACCAAAACTTAACAGTACATATGGAAGTATTGAAAGTTCAGAATCAGTGATGAGGAAGTTTTATTCATGTACACAAGGAAATGATTCAGTCAGTACATTTGCTGTGAAATTAGAAGATCTTTACGCTCAGGCAGTGGAATTAAAAGCTATTGTCAAGAATGAAAATATTTTGAAACAAATGCTGTACCAAGGATTGAGAATGGACTTAAAACATATTGCACAGTATAAATTCGACACAATCCCCGACTATGACAGATTTAAAATGGAACTGAGAAAATTAGAAGCTGAATTGAAGTTGCCAGATACCAAACCAAAGACTTGCCATGTAGCTCAGAAAGTGGATGAGAAGAGTGATTTAAACCGACTCGAAGACACTGTTAAACAACTTCAGCAGAAAATAGAGCAACTAGAACTGACTAAGAAGAATCCTTCAAACACTTTCAATTCATAAAAAGAGTGGGGCAGTCTTTTTATATATTTAGGTAGATATATTTTTTACCCTAAACATTTTCAAATATCATGCGTTGGTCAATCACCATTATAACGACAAGTTTACTTAATATAGTCAATATGACAATGAAAAAATGAGCATAATGTCACTTTAACTTTGAAATCTAAAAATGTTTGTTAAATGTGTTAAAATGACAATGTGAAATTACATTTAATGTGTTTACAAATGACATTGTGAAATGTTTGAACAATAAAGCCTTGTGAAAAACTGTAGAATAATTTAAGTGTTACATTTGTGATAATAGGAAAACAATTAAAATTGACAGAACTCTAGTAAAACACAAACTGTATTTTGATACAAACCGAAAGTTATGAAACTATAACTTATTGATGTGATATTTATGTTTAAGAAAATGAACATTAAGTAAACATTTAAGAAAAAATATATTTGTGATTAAGTTGCACATAGAAGAGCGTTTACGGTAAGGTGCACATATAAGAGGGTTTACGGTAAAAAGACAGTAATTAAGCAGGGGACAGTTTAACCTGAAATGAACATTTAAGTCAATAATCTGGATCTTTATTCACTACTACAATATGAAAATTGAGATGATCAAGTAATAAACAGTATTTACAAACATATGCAGACATTTTGTGACATTTATGTTTATGATATCATTCTGATATTTCAGGCTGGTGGTAACAAGGGCACATACAAAGGCAGAGCTTACCAGTGTAGGAAGTGTTCGAAGGTGGATCGAAAGGGGCGTACCATTGCTCATATCCTAAAGCACCATGTGCCTTTCGATCAAGTTCCATACTCTTGTTCATTGTGCAACTTTAGATGCCAAGATAAAGAAACATTGGTAAAACATATCAACTCATACAAAAGGCATAAAGATGAAATACTGAAAGCAGGAGGGAAGGTTGACCATTCAAAGGTACTGAATAGATCTGTAAATCCAAAGTATAATTTTGAAAATGACTTGGTATTATTAAACAAATTTGATTCAAGTGAACGTTTTGGCAGACAGGAAGACCCTTTGGATGACCTTGATAGTATTTTTGAGGAGGATGAAGAAGAATCCAACCCGTTGTTATTGCCAGATTGGGCCAAGGAGGGCATATCTTTAACTAATACTGATTCTCAGGTAACTCCATCCAAATCTTTGTGTCCAAATAATGGCGTGCCAGCTAATTATGTAAACAAAAGTGTACTAAACACTCCAGAACTTATTCTGCCTGTAACACCAAGTGTGAGAATGTCAACTAAGGTTAATCTAGGCACATCAGCAAACATTTCACATTCAAATTCGCAGTTTAATACTATATCTTTTGATGATTTATATGGAGCCCCAAGGACAACATCAACACTGGGTCAATTCCGTCCAATGACAACATCAACATCCACACTTAATCAATCCGTCCAATTGTATCACACCCTATTCCCCCTGCTGGAGCTACTTCAGTGCAAGATGAAAGACTGCATAGCAACCACTGAAGATATCCTGCCAGGCTGATTTAGTAATTGTCTGAAGATACCGACCCTCTTATGATAGAAATTCAGCATGAGAAAAATACAGGGAAGAGTGTAACACTCAATCAAATGATCAGTTTGCCAACAAGAGGTCAAGGACAGCGTCAACCTGTGCACCACTGTCCGTCAATGACTTTTTAAAGTTATAGTTAACACAGCTTTTCAGAAAGCCACCACCAGTATTGTAGAAGCCATAGATAGGAACAGTCGAGCTAAATGGTGTCAGGAGCAGACACTATTAAGGTTGTGTCCAGTTTGAACGCGAATTGAACGTTCTTTGAAAAGACAAATGAAATCAGAAGGTCACCGGTACGCGATTCAACAGGCAATGAGCAAATGAAAAGAGAAAAGGAAAATAAAAGACCAGTATTGAAGAGTACAGTAAGCAAATTAAATAAGAAATAAATATCCTGAACTGACAATTAAACAAATATCCAAAAATTAAAGTAAACGTTATCTACATATTCCTACTTTGGAACTGAACTCTAGTCAATGAATTATAATTATTATTTGTGAATTAACTTTGAGACATGAAGTAACATTGTGTGTATGAATATTGTAATGAACCATAAAGTGTAAAATATTGAACTGTGAAATTGTTATGCGAATATAACAATGAACTGTGTAATATGTGAATGTGAATATATTAATGAACTGTGAATTGTGAATTATAGACTGAGAAGTACCGTTGTTGCGTGAATATGATAATTGACTATATATAGTCTGTCCCATTAAAAAAGGAAATGAACTTTTGCCTGGTATGAATAAACGAAACGACGTAGTATAGAAAATAAAAGTTGTTTGTAAACTAAAAAAAGTCACCCTCGAGTTTTTTTAGGATTTTACTCTAAAGTGTCTACTTTTCTTGTGAAAGCAAATTTTGATTTGTCTATGGCAAATCTCTGTTGTTGTTTTTCCGTAGCCATTGCAGAAGTACTCTTCATTTGAAGATGAACGGGAGAAAGCACGTGTCATGTTTCTAAAATATACATGAGGTTCTCGGGTTCGTTTCATGATTATTTTACAAAGCTGGATCTACAAGATGTAACAGTTTAGTTGCAATGCATGATGGAAAATTTAAAAAAATGATAGATCTAGATAACAAGAACACCGAGTCACATGGAGTAGATCTAGAAATTGCACTTACTTTTAAGCTGAATAGAATCCCTATGAACTTTATAAACGTCACGACAAATTCACATTCTGAAGATTCCTTCATTGCCAGTTTCTATCCAGTTCCGTAGATCCCACTTTTTTACTTAAAAAATCCTGAATGACGTGAGTCATGACTCCTACACTTTTGATGATCCAGATTTTTTAAACTGATAATCCGTCTCATTATTAAACATTGTTCAATTTGAGTTATCTGGGTTAGCAAATGAAATATGTAAATGAAACACATCATAATTCAGCATGTTCCAAATCCATGATTCAAGAACGACCCATCAATTTTAGTTGTCAACATCACAATGCTTATGGATTCCTGACGAAAAAAAAAACACTTTATTACGTCAACAACAATTTACGAAATATATGACGTAACAAAAATGCCTCGCGCTTTTTATGGATAATTCCAGTTGCGGCATTGACATAGGGCGGTAAGGCATATGTAACCTCAAACAGATAAATTAAAGCGTTTAGATAAATTTGCCTTGATGGCATTTAAAATAATTTTTGTATACCCAGATTTTGCAACTTAACTGTAAAAAATACACCTTCAATTCATATATAAATAATATAAAACTTTTGATAACATTTAAAAATAATTTTAAACACACTTAATTAATGACATGACTCTATACAACAGTACAATACTTCTTCCATTAATTACATATAACATTTGTTTTGATTTTATGTTTTTGAACTATTTTTCATATTTCTCAGAAATAATTTCGCTACATATTATCTCGTTATTCAAGACTTCTGTAAATCCTACTCTTTTAGCTACAAAATATACATACGCGGTATTTTTTCTCCCGCGAAAAATATGCTAGATCTATTGTTTTTTTCACTGAATATTTTCAAATTCTCGGTGTTTCTCTTTGACTCGATCTACTCTTCATATTAACAAAATAATTTTATGTAACACTTTCAGTCTACAAAAAAAAAAAACACTTATATATATTGTCGCTTATTGAACACTCCAATTCAAACTTACTCGTGATAATATCAAATCACCGCCGGTATTTCTGGACATTTTATTGAATTGTGAGACGGAAAGTTAAATCTATATTTACGAGCTTAAAGTGTATAGGCCTACATTTGATTGCTTAAACTAGAAAGCATGATATTATAATCTTATAATTTACATTTTCCTCGAACGCGAGTCTGTGTTCTCTCGTTAGCGAGGGAGTTATAGTCTGTCCCATTAAAAATGGAAATGAACTTTTGCCTGGTATGAATTAATAAAAACACGTTGAATAAAAATTAAAACTTTTTTGTAAACTAAAAAAAAGTCACCCTCGAGATTTTTCAGGATTTTTCTCTAAAGTGTCTAATTTTCTTGTAAAAGCAAAGTTTCATTTCTCTACGGCAAATCTCTGTTGTTTATTTTCCGTAGCCATTGCCGAAGTACTCTTCATTTGAAGATGAACGGGAGAAAGCACGTGTCATGTTTCTAAAATGTACATGATGTTCTCGGGGTCGTTTCATGATTATTTTACAAAGCTGTATCTACAAGATGTAACAGTTTCGTTGCAATGCATGATAGAAAACTTTACAAAAATGAATAACAAGCAACAACTTGAACAAGATCATCGAGTCTGTGGAGTAGACTCTAGATCTAGAAATAGCACTTACTTTTAAGCTGAATAGAATCCCTATGAGTTTCGAAATAGATCTTTATAAACGTCACGACAAATTCGCATTCTGAAGATCACTTCATTGCCAGTTTATATCCAGTTCCGTAGACTTTGAAACTCCTGAATGGCATGACATTTACACTTATGATGATCCAGATTTTTTCATAATCCGTCTCATTATTAAAACATTGTTCCATTTGTGCAGTTATCTGGGTTAGCAAATGAAATATGTAAATGAAACACATCATAATCCAGTATGTTCCAAATCCATAATTCAAGAACGGCCCATAAATTTAGTTCGACAGCACAATGTTTATGGATTCCTGACGAAAAAACATTATTACGTCACCAATAATTTACGAAATATATGACGTAACAAAAATGCCTCGCGCTTTTTATGGATGATTCCAGTTGCAGCATTGGCAGAGGGCGGTTAGGCATATGTAACCTCATAAAGATAATTTTAAGCGAGATAAATTTGTCTTGATGGCATTTAAAATAATTTTTGTATACAGTACCCAGATTTTGCAGTAATTGTTAAAAGTACACCTTCAATTCATATATTAACAATAAAACTTTTGATAACATTTAAATAATTTTAAACACACTTAATGGCATGAATCTATATGACAGAATACCTCTTCCATTAATTCACATATAACCTTCGTTTTGACTTTATGTTTTTAAACTATTTTATATATTTCTCAGAAATAATTTCCCTACAAATTATCTCGTTATTCAAGAGTTCTGTAAATCCTACTCTTTTAGCTACAAAATATAGACCCTATGCGGTGTTATTTTCTCTCGCGAAAAAATATAGCTATTGTTTTTTCACTGAATATTTTCAAATTTTAGGAAGGCTATAATTATTTAGGACATCACTCTGTGTTTCTCGTTGACTCGATATCCCCTTCATATTAACATAGTATGTAACACTTTGAGTCTACAAAAAAAACTTATTGTCCCTGATTAAACGCTCCAATTCAATCTTATTCTTAATAATATCAAACACTGCCGGTATTTCTGGACATTTTGATAAATTATGAGACGGAAAATTAATCTGTATTTACAAGCTTAAAGTGTATAGGCCAACGTTTGGTTGCTGAAACTAGAAAGCATTTTTATATTCTTATAATTTACATTTTTCCTCGCACGCGAGTCTGTGTTCTCTCATTAGCAAATGAGCTAGTAAAAGTAGACACTGTGCAAAACAATACTAAACATATAGTGAATCAGTTCCCCTTTCTATATATTTCTTGTCAGATTTGCATGCAAATGTTATATTTGTTGGCGATTTATACGTCAGGTTTCTGTTGTGAAAGTTAAAACCTACGAAAAGTTTTAACGCACGAACATCGCACCCGAAATAAGAAGGGTAACATATTTTTGTATCCCATCGGACCTGGTTAATTTAATTATTTTTAAATATACGTGATACATACTAATGGACAGTATTCAGGCAACTACAGAATTATGTTAATTAAACATTAGCGAAGAACCATTTTTTCAGTCTTCTAGCTAGTGTTCCCGTTCCCTTACGACGCGTTGCGGTATTCAACATACGCGCTTGATTGAAAAGCTATCTAATCAAATCACTTCATAATATTGCTCTTTTTCTCTTAAAAAGAATATAAATATGGTAATTATATAATTATATAAATCTTTGTGTGTTATAATTTATAAAGCGGTTACTGATAATTCACTTCAAATGATTTTAAATTGATTATTTTAAATAATGGTTTGCTAGTAAAATTGCCTTTTCGACACCAACTTTGTTCATATTTTTCATTTTAATGATAACATTTAGCTATTGATCAGTAAGTAAATAAGAATAATCAATTTTTTATAATTAACGAGTACATTTCACGCTAATTGTGAGACGAACCCTTAATGACGTCTGTATGGGCGCCGCCATTTTGAAATGGACGTCACGTCAGGTTACAACGTAAGTCAACGGGAAAAAATATAATTTTAACATTTTGACCATATTACTGACTTTATGGAAAAAATGAAAAACATGCCTAGAGATATTGATGTCAGGATTAACATGACATTAATTTAAATGATTTCACTATTATATTTAATAAAAAATGGAATATTCAAATTTGGTGGGACAGACTATAGTTAAAGTAGACACTGTGGTAACAAGCAAACCAATGCTGAACGTATAATGAATCAGTTT